GCAAACCACATAGAGCAGATAAACCAATTGAAGCTGATCGGTTCAAGGAAAAGTTCAATCTCAACTGGTTTTGAATCCACGACCTTGTGTAAGGTGGTCTGTCACTAACCAGCAGGGTTAGGTACTTCCCCTCCCTCTTGTTTGTTGTTGTTTTAAGTCTACTGGTCAAATGAACACTTTTGATGAAATGTCGGCAAAAAAGTTTTATTCAATTTGTGTGATGTAATGCCACTATCCCCGATGGATGGCAACACAAAAAGTTTTATTCAAAAGCTTTTCTGGATTTCGGACATCTCAAATGATAATGAATTTAACAACTTTTTTTTATTCTTTTAAAAAATTAGTTTGTGATATATTTAAACCGGGTGATGTTTGTTATAACAAAGGAATTATTTTAATATATATCTGAAAGGTAGCTGACACCAATGTAAAACCTCAATAAAAAAAAACATTTGATTTCTCAAGACAACCTAATCCCAATGCGTTTAGGGTTTTTTTGCTTGGCTTTGTTTAATCTTAAAGAACATAATAGAACAAAAAAGGACTCGAAAAAGTTAATTATATAATCATTTAAATGAAATCGATATATATTGTGAAGCCAATAAACTCGGGAGAATGTTTAGGCATTTTCGTCGTCTAAACTCTATTTCCTATAAGGGGATGTTTCTCGAAACTAATATTTTTTTTTCTTGTTTAAAAAATTTGATTCTTTGTGTTAAATATTAATCACACTAAATTATGCCCACTGATTCTTATGTTTGACTAAAGTAAGCATGTTTTTATATATTCCCTATGGCATTAACAAATATACAGTCTTTTTCATGCATCTAGTTTAGTATCATCAATCAGATCAGATAGTATCAATTAATTAATTAATTTTAATTAATTATACACATATATTTTTTAATAAGCATATAAATATATTATTATTCATATTTCATTTAGAAAGACAGAATTAATATCCCCATATTTCTACACACGGATGAACGTCGATAATATCTGGACAATAGCATGGAGTTTAAAGTGGACATATGATGACCGATCAAGTTAATTAAGATGGCGTTGAGGATCGAAATATATAAAATATTTAATAGACAATAATATATCTGAAGATACATCCGTCTTTAAAATCTATCTAAAGTTAGATGGAATCTTATCTTTTACTTGGAAACGATGCTAATATAAATTTTAAAAAATTTATCTAAAGTTTCACTAGAAAAAAAAAACCAATCTTTTTCCATTAAATCTTAATTTATTTTTATCAGAATATATATATATATATATATATATATATATATATATGTGTGTGTGTGTGTGTGTGTATGTGTGTATATAATATATCACATCGAACTATAGAACAAGACAATTCTATAGATAGTCATGGATATAACAAAGCCAACGAAAACAAAATTATAAGAAAACCGGACACACATCCGATCCACAAATACATATGTCAATATATATCTATGCATACATATACGCAATAATAATAATAATAATAATAATAATAATAATAATAATGGAGAATGCATGTGAAGGGAAATTAGGGCATTGAATCGAAGGTTGCATTTAGTGAGTGACTGCAAAAATGAGCGCAATTGTTGCTTACATTTGCTCTCTTCTATAGAAATCATTTATTACTACACTCTTCTTCTTCTCGTCATCCAATCCTCTATGTATATCATTGTATATATACATATATACGTATAATAGACATGTGTATCAGTATATGTACCATATGCACGCATATGTACGTATTAAGGTACTAGTGTCTAATTGGTCGAATAATGTATATGCTGATTTTCCTCAACATTATTCAAGGTAATTATCAAATTACAATATACCATATGATAAACTATAAAAACATTCTGAATTATCTAAGTTTTATTAAAAATATTTTTGTTAGAATACATATTATTCGTGAAAAATATTTTCGGAGCCATTTGCTATTTATATAAAATTTAGTCATAAATCTAATTTATAGTACGCAACTTTTGAAATATATATCGATGTGTTAAAAAAAATAAACATGTAGTTAAAATGAAAATATTATGGTTAACTATTAAACAACGAAAAAGGATGATAAGTTTTTATATATTAAAAAATTAGAAAAATATAAAAAATAGAAACATAAAAATTTATGATTTCTCTATTAAAAAGAATATAATTTTTTTAGGATAATCTGGAATTTCAAAATAATTTTGGCCCAATTACATCTCTCAGAGTGAGAAATATGGGTGAATCTTTTCTCCCACATTTTGATTTGAATCCGTGGTAAGAATGTGGATAAAGAATATAGTTAACATTTGATAATATATCGAAATGATTTTTTAAAATATGAGTTAATAATTGGCATAGATTTTTAAATTTTTAGATTCATATTAAAAAAATTAAGACAATATATTTAACTAGCCAAAAAATAACTAGAATTAATTAGAATTAATATTTTTTTTTATAAAATTGTGGGTCTTTAAATTGGAGGCTGTGCAAAAGTTCCTCGACGGCTCTGGATTTCCGTTCATTCAGGATGTAGTATATATATATTTAACGACAAAAACAGTGTAAGCATTTATAAAGATCTAAAAATCATGCAAAATAAACACCGAACATTAAAAATAAAAACATGTCTTAGGAAGCAAAATCTCCAAAACAAAAAAAGGGGTTATTGGTTAAGTGTGACAAAAAGATGTGGTGTTTTGCAAAACATACAAAATAGTTATGACCTTTGTAAACTATATCTTTTTATAAATTTTTGACAAAATTACCCTTATTTTATTGTATGATTTCAATATTGTCATTTAGTGTCCCACAAAATGTGCAATATAAAAAACAGATTTTTTTGGAAACCGTGTAATCCGGGAGAGCTGTTTTTCATCCGGGAGAGACTGTTTTTATCCGGGAGAATTGTTTTTTGTCCGGGAGAACTGTTTTTCATCCAGGAGAGTTTGTCTTTTGTCCGGGAGAACTGTTTTTCGTCCGGGAGAGTCTGTTTTTTGTCCGGGGGAACTGTTTTTTGTCCAGGAGAACTGTTTTTTGTCCGGGAGAGTCTGTTTTTTGTCCGGGAGAATTGTTTTTGTTCGAGAGAGTTTGTTTTTATTCGGGAGAATTTTTTTTTGTCCGGGAGAACTGTTTTTTGTCCGGGAGGATTGTTTTTTGTCCGGAAAAATCTGTTTTTCGTTCGGAAAAGTTTGTTTTTTTGTCCGGAAGAACTGTTTTTTTCGAGGGAGTTGTTTTTCGTTTGGTAGAGTATGTTTTTTGTCCGAATAATAAATAGTTCTCACATATAAAAAAATTTGTTTTTTTACATAAAAAACATTTTTTCTCTTATGGAAACAATTTTCTAAAAAAAAAGTATTCTCCCGAACGAAAATACACTTTTTCAGATAAAAAAACATTTTTTTTGGATAAAAAAACAGTTTTCCGAGATAACACAGTTTCTGAATAAAATATATTTTTTATGCTGTAATTTTTTTTAGTAATGGCAACATTGAAATTATATAATAAAGTAAGAGTATTTTTGTCAAAAAATTATAAAAAGATATAGTTTGCAAAGAAAGGAAAAAAAAGGTATAGATTTCTAATGATGCTGGTGCAAATTTTTCCAAAAAAAAAAAGGTTAAATTGCATCAAAATAAATGCATTTGCTGGTGGAAAAATACTAAATTTTGATTATAAGAAAAAGTAAATTTCATTATATAAAAAAAGGTATGGACTGTAATTATAATGTAATGGAAAATAATAAATACAAGTGATCGTACAAATGAGCATTTTGGGTGGAGACAGATTGGTTGCAGCAGAAAAGGCCAAAAGGGTACGTCGTGAGGGAAAATGAAACAAAAATAGAAACTTTAAATAAACCATTTTAAAAAAAATTTAAGACTAATAACTCGAACGTACTATTCAGTATGGCATGGCATTCGTACACTATCATTATTTCGGCATTCTAAATATCTTTTTTCACAATTTCACATACACACACATACATATATATATATATATACACACACATCCACAATAAAATTGATAAAATAAAAAACTATTTTGTAAATCTCAATTTATACATTTGTTGTCTTTATATGTTTATTATTATTATTATTTTCAGAATTCATGGCGACATAAATGCACATAACAAAAAATGAAATTAAAAATAATAATGATGAGAAAAAAGGAGATGGAGAAGTGTAGGAAGACTCCCAGTTTTCTCACTGATCGATGGGATCTCTCTCCGCACTTTCTGCTTCCCCTTTGACACAGCTGTCCCATGTTCCTTCTGTCAGTTCCTGTATACGATGTCGTTTCGGCACCTCTCCCCATTTCACCTCTTGATCTCATACATACATACATACGTACGTACATACATACATGCATGCATACATACATGCATACACGTGGGTAAGTAGGACGTAATCATGTAAGCACGATTGGTTGATGTTTAATTTTTATTTTTGGAAAGAACGTGCAACAAGAATGTCCAATGAAATAGTAATTAGTACCAAAATTAGGCTCGATATTAATTATATTAAACATGGGCTTGTACATTTTTTTATAAATAGATATTCCACATGCTGTAATGCTTTCGCGTAGCTTATATGGAATTTATTATTATTATTATTATGTGCAGATGGAAAGAGAGTTATTAATTTGGGGCATTTATCGCTATTTCCTGATTCATCAGCCAAAGTTAAGCTGCGGTGGCCCAAACACCCAAAAACTGAATAAAATAAAATTCAAATAAACATTATTAACTCCGTCAAGCTTCTTTTATACTCCCTCCGTTTTAAAATATTTGTAGTTTTAGATTATTATCCATGTTTCAAAATATTTGTCATTTTACATTTCCAATACATTTTTTTTAAATAATTTCTAATTTTATCCTTACCAAATTCCAATACATTATTAATGATAATATTGTTTTTATTATTAAATAAAGGGTATATATGACTTTTATTTTCATTTTTTAAAAAATGTGAAATAAGTTAAAACAACAAACATTTTGAAACGGAGGGAGTACAATTGTTTCGCGTGGATTTCACGTGACCAACGAGAGGTTGAACCAATCGAAATCGAATTTGAGTTTCTTTTTCTAATCATTTGTTCGTCCTATTTGAGATTCCGTTCTTCTCGGAGTCGGGAGCTTCTGTTCTTTTCAAGTTATAATTGTCAAGGGGAAAAAAGGAATAAAAAAAAGCATGAAATATCGGAGTCTTTATTATGATTTTTTTTATATAAATATATGCGTCTCTCTCCCCCATATATTTACGCCCCCGATTGTAGCATTCCGAATTTTACTAGGATAAAATTTCAAACAAAATATAACTATATACCTAAATCATACGAGTTATTTTTAAGAACTCATATCAATCGTAGGTAAACAAATATATGGTACCATGTAAGACAAACGATAATCGACAAGGCAGTGCTATATCTTTGTACATATTGAATGTTTGTAACATTCCAGAAAATCCTTTGAGTTTGTACATAATTTTGTAGAAACATAAAAAAAAATCCTTTTAGATTAATAAAAAAAAAATCATATATACAATCATCATATATCTATTGAAATTATATATTTTTAATTAAGGGTAAATTGAAAAAACCATCTAAAAAATCTAAAACGATATCTATTTAATAATATATATTTTTTTTAAAAACGATATGTATTTAGAAATGTCGATAGCAGTACTATTCAACTCCATCTCCATACGACGTTTTCTTCTCGGAAAAGAGGAAAGTTCAAAAGCATTGGATTCAGTTATATTTTTTTAGAATTTTGCTAAAATTATAGTTCCCGTGAATTTGGACGGTCCATTTAAATTTGCTTGCCCAAGACGGTTTAACAAGCAAACTGCGACTAAACCTTGAAGAACCATAACCTCGATTCAAATCAAATAACTTCTGTTGGGATAATGACATGTCAGGAGTATATCTCCCTTTGATCCGACAGTTTGACCATTTGGTCAAACATTTGGCCACATGGTCAAATATGCACACTTTATTATTATTATTGTTGTTGTTGTTGTTGTTAAACATTAATTAGCAAGTAACAACATGCCAAAGGTTTTGATTAGGGTCTAAGCAAAAAAAGAATTATCTGTCTTGTTTATAGCTAGATTACCCAAAAAGATGTAGATTTATTTTAAAATTGTTTGAAATAGGATTTTTCCAAATCTATTATTCATGTCATGTATTGAAATATAATTTACAAAATAAAATTTAGTTATAAACAAAAAAAAAATTATTGGAAACTATTGATTTTTGAACATTATACACAACCGTTTCAAAATCAAATTCGATCATGATACAATTATATATTACTCCTAAACCGAAATTCCATGTTTCAAATAAAGATATGTACTTTGTTTCTATTGGTTATCTTAAGTTTACATGCAAAATAAATAGTCATAAACACCGGTCAACACCATGCAGTAACGTGGTTGCTATTACAATGCTCCTGTTTCGCGTAATGTTTAGGATCAATGTGAAAAGGGAGATAATAAAATACCGTTTCGAGAATGAATTAATAAATGTAAACTGTTTTGTTATAATTAAACTGAAAATTTATTTCAATGTATACTAAATTAATTATTTAATTAATTAATGGGGGAACGATGAACAAAGACCCTCGAGTCAATCCAAAAAAAAAACGACCTTAATTTCCTTTGCAATTACTATACCTCCTTTCAAAGTTTTTTCTCCTTGTGTTTTATTTAAAAAAAATGTTTTAATAATATCTGAAAAATCCAAACGTGGTTGTTTGGCTCCCAGTACAGAGTATCCACACATCCAAACAGGCCCCGTGTCTACCTCCGAATTTAAAGCCAAAGGTGACCAAGAGAATCCTCTCCTCCTGGCTCCTGCGCCTGATCATGATGATGATGATGATGATGATAATAATAAATAGACGTAGTAGTAGTAGTAGTCCATCTTCGTATAAATAATTCGTATTTTTTTAAAGGTGGAAAATCCCTAATTCTGTCTTGTTCAATTTAATGTTATAATTTCGTTCTTTTTTTTATATATTTTTTATAAATTTGAAGGAGATGTCAGAAACAGAAATAAATAGAAATTCTAATTCAGAACCAAACAAGGAGTGTAATGAAAGAATCTACTGTTTCAATCTCTGAAGAAATTCGTGTTCGTACTTTTGATGAATCAGGCAAGTAATTTCGGTTTCAATGCAAAGACAGTCGTGACGAAGAAGAAGGGGATGGGTTTTCGCATTAAAGATTCACCCCTAAGAATCGTTCCAACCTCAACGGAATAATTTACATCATATATATATATATATATAGATTCCTATAATTAAAGAGACTTTGTATTAAATATATGTTTGTCGTATTTTTTGTTGGTCTTTTTCGTAGAATTTAATTTACTAACCTAAGTAATTATGTTATATATTAATATTCCGAACAATCCCTTTCACCAGTCATGTACGCCAACCCTTGAGGTTGTCAATTTATATATTTAGAATGAGAGCATTTAAAAAAAAAAAACTAATTATACTCATTTTTAATTGCAATTCGTAATTACTTTTAATTTTATAACAAGAGTTTATATTGGATTTAGTTAAATATATATATATATATATTTTTTTTAACGAAATATTTATATATATAGAAACTTCATAATACATTCTGATGCTTTTCTTCATAACCACAAAAATAATAAAAAGAAAACCCTTTCCCTAGAAAACCGAATTTTTACTATAAAAAAAATGGAAAAAGATTTTGTCTTTTTCTAATTTGACATACGTATATACAGATGTAGATACATATATACAGATACATAGATATAGAGTGTAAGAGATATGGGTATGACTGTGTAATAAATGATGTGAAGAGGTGCATATGTGGAAGGGATAGGTGAAGAAGTGGGGCTATAAGAAAGTGCCCTAAAACCCCTTTTGCTTTAGCATTTCTGTTTCCACTCTGCGTCTAAATTCTGATATATCATATCAAGACACCACCATCATCATCATCATCATCATCACTTCCACACATATATAAACACATACATATCCCCAGACAAGACAACCGCCTATCTTCTTGAAACCATGGCTTCTTCGAACAGGCACTGGCCAAGCATGTTCAAATCCAAACCTCATCACCACCATCACCAGTGGCAAAACGACATCAACTCACCTCTCTTGCCTTCAAGGCCATCTCCTTTCTCTTCAGGTATATATATATATATATGAACAAAACCCTTCAAACCCGATTTCCTAAAATCTTCAATCTTTCACTTTCTTTTTGTTGTTTCACAAGTTCTAAGCATTTGCATATACACAAGATTAGTGAATTATGTGCCTTTGGTCCGACTAATTCGATTTATGTGTAACGTTTTCTTTCAAAAGGGTGTGAAGAACGGAGTCCGGAGCCTAAGCCGAGGTGGAATCCGAAACCGGAGCAGATTCGGATTCTCGAAGCAATCTTCAACTCGGGGATGGTGAATCCACCGAGAGATGAGATCAGAAGGATTAGGGCACAGCTTCAGGAATACGGACAAGTAGGTGATGCCAATGTCTTCTACTGGTTTCAGAACCGCAAGTCTCGAAGCAAACACAAACTCCGTGTCCTCCACAACTCCAAACACGCTTCCTCTACTCAGGCACGACCACAAAACTCGGCTTCCCCTTCATCATCTTCCTCCTCTTCATCCCCCAAATCCTCCACCGAACCCTACAAGACCAAGAATTACACCAATTCCAACACTATCAACAGCACCAATCTCTCTCTCGGTGGCAATTCTTCGTCTGCTATGCCAAAAGTCGGTTCGGTTACCGTGGAAAGTAACCCGGCTCTCGGTATGCTTCCTACCGAGCCGGCCTTTCTCTTCCCGGTTTCTGCCATGGCAACAGTCGGAGGATTCGAGGGTTTCACCGGAGGGTCAGAGTTAGGATTTGTCTCTGGCGAAATGATGAGTAACATTGCGGCTCAAGAGCAGAAACCGGTTGCTGCGGCTGGGCCTTGTACGGGGCTTTTGCTGAGTGAGATAATGAATAGCGTGAGTTATGGGACGAACTTAAGTGTGAAAGAACACGAAGAGGTGAGGATGAAGATGTTGCAGCAACCACACGATCATCTTTCTTACACAACGAGTTCGATCACTACTCAGACCAGTTCGCCTTACAACAACTTGTTCGTTAATCCTTCTCCTACTTCGGCTTCTGCTACTGTTCCATCGGTTTCTGATCATCATCAGCTTCATGTTCAAGGTAAGGAGACCGACCCTTTGAAGAACCCTCTTCTCTTTAATTAGCTCGAAAATTTTCTGTTTCTATGCACCATAAATTTCGTGTCAACAAAAAAACCGACAAGATTGAGTAACAACACTTTTGAGATACGTCATGCAATGCATAGATTGAGTAACATATATTTATATATGGTTGTTTAAAGTGTTGCGGATCTTTTGCAATAAAATCTTTAGAATATTCACATAGATTTACCTTCATGTAATGCACAAGCTTTATAATCCACATGGGTAGTTTGATTGGTTTCAATAAGATCCACATCTTGGAGATTATATTGTTACAAAAGTTCAAATACTTTGCCCCATAACAAAAAGTTTATATCTTGGTGAAAATTAATTACTGCGAATTTGGTACTGATATATATATATATATATATATATATATTGTAACAAATAATTTAACAGCAGCGGGGAAAATAACGGTGTTTATCAACGAGATGGAGCTAGAAGTGATGTCAAGGCCGTTCAACGTGAGAGAGGCGTTCGGGTCGGAAGAGGCGGTGCTGATCGACTCGGCCGGGCAACCCGTTCTCGCCGACGAAAACGGCTTCTTGCTTCACCCTCTCCAACACGGTGCCTCCTACTATCTGGTCATATCCCTCACTCTCTTCATCAATTTTCTCCATTTCTCTTCTTTTAATTAAACCCTGTTTAACGCTGTTAAAATTGGTTTAACGGCGAATCACTTGGGGTAAAAAACAGTAATATTGCATTACACCTTTATGTATGTGCATATATATGTAAGTGTGTAATATGCGTGTGGTTTAAATGGTTAGTTTTGAAGTGTAGGTGTGAATCTAGGGTTTAGGTCTTTTATTGTTTTTTGGGGATCTAAAATGGATAAATGCATGCGGGGAGACAACTTTGTTTGGCTTGATTAGTTCGACAGTGTTTGACCAAACCCAATTTATCTACACAATGCGCTTAGCATTGACTTTTTTGGTAAAATCTCTATGTGTTACGATCTTTTCGAGGATATATATACGTGTGTATATATATACATATATATAGTGAAAGCAATATGGATATATATATATATGGGGTACATATATATCGATGGATTAATTGGTAATGCACCATCAAGGTCTAGTTCACTTGATCAGAAGGATGCAAATCTCACGATATGTGTAATGCAAGAGAATGTCACCAAAGTTGATAACGAACATTAAATGTTCGAGTGTTAATCGGTTTAATTAGTGAAAATGTACGTAGATGTAGTGCACAAATTCATCAAACGGTCCAAAGAATTAAATTTATTTGCTGATTTCGAAATTCTTCTTTTTCTTTTTGCAGATTTAGAGGCACCGAAGCTGTGAAAGACTTGGTTTGAGCAAAAAAAACACTTGGCTCTATCTCTCTCTCTCTCTCTCTCTGGTTATGCATAAAATAGTAGGGTTTATTATTTAGTTGCTCCTTGTGACGTTATGATGTATGAGTTTGGGACAGAGCATTAAACTCGTAGGGTTGTGGTGTGGACCAATGTTTTTCCTTATCCGCAGGTTGCTTTATAATTTATATATATATATATATCATCTACTGTTCTTATTATGTCATTTCTCAACCTCACGTATAAATATATAATATATAATATTATATCCTCATAACGTACGTCTACATATAAAACATATACAATCAATGGTTTTCGAGATGAGTAACTCACAAGTTTCACAAAACCCAATGCGAAAGTGATTTAGTTTCATGTGTTATTATATATATATATATGTATATATATATGGATGTATGTATATGATGATGATGCAAGATTTCTTGCGGAGACTGGGAATGTTGACCCTATGCATGTGGGATTTGGAAAAAAGATACAAACGTTACGCACGTAACCGATGCCCAAAAAGGGTCATCATGCAAAAATTAATTAATTTTTATATTTTCTGATTTTATCTACTCAAATATCCAGCTTTTTTTAGAAATTTAAATTTTCAATTTTCGTAACACTTTTTTAAATCTGTGTATTCAAACTTGTTCATATAAATTTTCAATTCTTTAGATTTTCTAAATTCAATTTCTGAACTCTATAAATTACACTAATCCTCTGAATTCAATTCTCCGAGCCGACATCATAGTTTATGGATTGATTTCATACCATTTTGTGATATATATATATATATATATATAACCATACTTACAGAAAATGCAAATGATGTAGGGGTCCATATATGCTTGTTCGATTAAATCAAACGTAAAAAAAAAAGCGCAAAAATAAATAAATTGAAATGTAATATCAAATCACACGCAGATGTTAAGCACGTACTATATTCCACTGTTTAGTTCATGTTGCTCGACGTACATATGTTATTGCGCACTCTAAATGCTAATGGTGGATGTCTATATCATTTTGCGTGTTGACATGAATTTATTTAAATTTGTGTAATTGAAAATATAAATTTGTTTAATTATATATTAGTCAAAATGATTATAAACATTACGCCAAATCTATCTACAGATTAGAATGCGCACAGTGGAATGGATGGACGAACAGCCTCACTCAGTCATCCATTCAATCATCGTCGACATGTCACAATATATATATATATATATATATATATATATATATATATATATTACGTCTCTTTTTAAGCAAAAGGTTTGCTTGTCCGAACCAGACAGATCTCAATTAGAAACTGTCTTCATCAATATTTTCTTGTTTTTTTTTTCTTCCTTCCCTTTATGTAATTACAATTATATATAATGAACAGTATAGACCAATTATATATACGACAACATCCCAATCTAATGTATACAATATCTTAATATCGAGAAATTGAAATGTTTCAAATAGTTTCCTAAAATATGAAATTAATCCGAATATCATAGGAAAATAATAATCACAATGAGAAATCATCACTAATTGGTGAAATGTGCCATGTAATATGAAATATCATAGAAAAAAAACAATACTCATTATCAATGCAAAAACATTTTGGCAATATATATATATATATATAGGTTATAATTAAAGGTGAAAAACCATAGCCCGAGTGAACTGTAGATTCACCAAGTGGAGACAATATCTCTTACGTGCAAAACTGACACAAAAACAGTATAATTAAATATTAAATATGCTCACCACTTCGACCATTCATTCAGTTTCAGATCCCCCAGTCACTTTCATTTTCCTGTTCCTCCCCTCACGTTTACACAAAAAATCTAATCATTTGTATGATTTTCCACTGTTTTATTTTAATTTTATTTGGAGATTTTCCACTAAATCTCTACGGATCGATCCTGTCGTCAAATTTTCTGGATCCTAACGCTGAAGACAAAGAAACAGAACATAATACAACAAAAACAAAAATCAGAAGGAAAAAAAAGATCTAAGTGAACAGAAAATCCGATTGGAGATTCGTCTGTCTTCCAAAATCCTTGGAACAGTCAGTAAACCATCTATGGATAACATTTGTCCGAAAGAAACTCCACGAAAAGAAACTTAGGGAAAGCAAAGGCAATCACCAATAGGACACATCGATTCAAGCAACATCGAGCAGAAGACGATTACCATTACCTCTTCAAGATCGTGATATATGAACATACGACCCTGTTCCAATCAAATTCGATATACAACTTATACTAAAACCGAAAATTAAATCCGAACCAAAAATTCGAAAAATAAACGTTTTATTCTGCTCTAGCTGGACAGTTCTTTGTTTTCTGCATTATTGGATTGTACATTCTGTCATTCAACAAAGTTTTCAGGCGCTCTCAGACAAAACCAGTTGTCCAAACCACACTAACTCTACAATGCCTTTGCTTTGGGCTTCACTTCTAACAGATCTCCTTGTTGTAGTAAACACGACAGAAGACGGCGGCAACATGTTGCCGGGTGCTGCGTTTTCCCTCCACAACTACTCGGGCAGTTTCTTCTGCAGTCAGAGATTAAGAGATTAACAGCTTTTTTTTTGCAAGTATTCCTCATGGAAGGAGATAATGATATTCAACCTGCCTAGCTTGGAAAACTAATGATAAGATCATACGCTTAATGTTGGAACCAGCCCTTTCTAAGAACTTGAATATAAACATACCTAAATGTTCTACAAAGACCTGTTTCATACACTGGGGTGGAACAGAACAAGCTTAGCCGGATCAGCCAAAACACACGATCCGAACACAGCAACAATGGTTCTAGGACACTAACTTGCATCCGGTTTAGAGTTCCAGAACCGATGTAAGAAACCCGCTCATTCACTCGGAACAAAGACATCTATCTCCAGTCCTCGAAGAAAAGGAAGTGGAACAAACAAGCACTGATATAGTCTGTAGTGTAATCCCGATATAATCATATCCATAGGCAACCACGAGAGAGGATCAAGCCATCCATACACACTCTCGAGTTTCTTTCTTCTTGGATCAAACAGACCACTTCCCCCATTGAACTTATGACAATTGCAGGATTTCTAATTACAAGTCATTAGAACATTCCTGGAATTCCGACACTGATTTGAACAGTGGCAGGTATAAAAATTGAGCATACTCTATACGGTTTGATTGGGTGTTGAAAATTTATGAATCAAGATCAAATCTTTCTCAAATGGGTTCTCGCATTCCCGATTAACGTCATCAATATCGTTGTGGACTCTTCAAAACCAGTTGCTTCGCTCTGCTAGTGCCAGTTACAAACTCTTTTCCATGAAATACATGGAAAAAAAACCATTAATGGACGAGAAGTTCTGAGCTGAATCCAGGCAAAAAAAACCCTAAAATCCTAAAACTTCACGGGTCAAACTCACATTGCTCATATTAATTAGAAATCCAAATCAAGCAGAGAAACCCAAGAATCGTACCGGGAAACCAGATAGGTGTCGCTGACCCAGTGTCATTTTCCCTCGCTGCGACCGGGAGAATCCGAAGACGACGACTTGGAATCCGACCCGGACCCGGACCCGGGATCCGATTGGAGAGAAGGAAGAGGATTGGAGCCTTTGATGATCCAACCAAGTGCGAAGAACGTTACGCCGGCGAGAATCGCCGTGCCCCAAGCTTGAGAGTACCATCGACTGTACTGGCGAATCGCGAACCTCCACTGCTCTCTAAGCGTCGCGGGATCCGGATTCATCGGGTCGGGCGGGTTCGGGTACGAGATCCTTTGACCCGAATAGCTCGACCCATTACTTATCTCCGGGATCGGCTTCTTCGACGGAGGAGGGAGATGATCCTGTGGTGTTTTGGCGTCCTTGGGGTTTTGGTTCTTCTCGCTCATTTTGGTCGATGAACTTTCGAAGAAAATGTCTTGTAAAGTTTCTCCAGTGGTGTTTTATTAAAGATTTCGATTTGATCATTCGTTATTTTATTATTGTTAATTACGGGTTTCATTCTAACTTAAAGCACGATTATCAGAATTTTATCTTTTAAACTGCGTTTGTAAATTCGCTCTTTTATCTAAATGCTGCCACGTGTTAAGTAGACGACACGTGGCATTTCGACACCATATTACTGCTGTTCGGTCGGCAGATTTATCTAAAGACATTAAGAGGACGGAAGATATAAGCCGGTTCATGTATTCGTAGAGATTGGTTTGGATTTTACATTCATCCAAAACTGAATTCGAATGTTTTGCAATTTTTCCCTGTTCGTGATTTTCAAAATTTTCGAAGAATACTTAGATATTTACACATTATTCAAATTAGAACCTAATATTTACACTTATTACCCAAATGAGTAAATCGGAAAGGAAACGTTTGAGAATATATAACCGAATTTTATGAAATTTTGAACCCAAAAAAAAAAAGATAATTAATTATGTAATTATTGATTTTATTCTGAACACCCTAAAAATTTTGGACACCAAAGACTTTGATTATGAGTTTCTATGGAATGATAAGAGCAATAATAAGTGGGTTTTGTAAAAGATTAAGACTTTACGTTTTGTGCTTGTTTGGGGAGAGAATTAAAAGGATTAGCCTTTTTGGTGATTTGCGAAGAAGCTCTGGTTTGCTTCAAGAACCCTACTCCCCGCTTCAATGGCTTCAGCTCCTACTTCTTCTCTCCTCTCCCCCTCCCGAAATCTCACTTTTTTCCCCGTTTTACCTCTCCGGCGAACCTCCGTTCCGTTCCTCCGTCGTTGTTCTCCGAACCCTTCTCCGGCCACCACCGACGAAGACATCCTCCGCTTCGTGTCGGAATCCGACGGCAAGGCACTTCCATGCGCGAGGACATACGAGAACGACTTTACTCGGCTGAGCCTCGTCGGAGCCGTCGCTTTCGATCAGGCTCTAACGGCGGCTGCGGCGGACGGCGGCGACGCCGCCGACGATCACCTCCGGGACAATGTCCCCGTTATGGTCGTTGAGACGGTTTTCCCCGGAGGATCCGACCCCAAGTCTACTGTATCAACCCGATTGGTGAGCTTCGGGTCTTAACATTTTCTCTTTTCTGGGCAGTTTTCCGCTGATCTTCTAATAGATTCTCGGATTCTTTTGGGTATTGGGTTTTCGAAAATTCATTCCGTTGCGCTATGATATTTGACATATTGCTGGCGCTCTGTGTTCGCGTAATGTATGGAGATATCACAAAGATTCATGAGCGTTTTGAAGTGGAGATTCACTGATTCTAAAGTTTTTGATGTAATCATTGCTTCTGAAGTTCCATGCTTGAGAATTTAATCTTACGAGGTAATCGTTTTTTGGACAGTTCTTACCTACTCGGAAAGTGAAAGAGCGAGCTAAAAGGCTGCGGAGATCCTTCTCGGAGGATATTTCAGGTGGGAATTTGTCGAAGAACATACTGGCAATGACATTCAGACAAGTAGTGTTGCGACAGCTTTGGAACTTTCAGCTGGTGTTGTTTGGTCCTGGATCAGAAAGAGATATGAGTGATTATGAAAAACCACGGGAGGTTAGAATTCTCTTCTTTCCTGCTTTTTTGCAGTTGGGTTTGGGGTAGCTTGAGAAAAGTATTGTGATGTTCTATTGACACTGTCCTGCAGGTGGAACTTGATACTGATAGGTTTGGTTCTCTTTATGCATTTCGTATCAGCAGGTTTCTACATCGTTCACTCTTAGCTCATCCGATGAACGGGTTATCTCTGTTATTGCAGAAGTTATATGCATATTTGCTCTTCGGAGCACTGAAAAGCATTTCCTCGACGATTATCTGGGAAAAACTGTGTTCCCCCTTTTCAAGTGGTTGAGGAAACATAGAAGGATTGCTTCAAGGGACAGCTCGGTTGTCTTACATAAGTTATTTGATGATGAGTTAGTCGAGAATGCCAAGCAATTGCTCGAGTATTTCCACTCGATGAAAGAAAGTTTCAAGCTTTCAGAACCAAGGGAAAGAAGTCACTGGTTGAAGCTCTCTGTGAGTTCCAAGCTGGAAAAGATCGGTGGATCTGAGTTTAGTACCTGGGCAAGCGAGTATTTGCCTGCATATCGGCTAGAAGTTGACGCCACTAGACTGGGGGACCTAAAACTCGAGGGCTGGAAAATGTCGGGCGGGAATAAGTGGGAGGTTCTGCTAACTCACTCCCAAATGGTATCTGATCTCAACTATTTCCTCTTCTTCTCTTTTCCCTCCTCTGTCTTGGTTCTCATTCTTGATCGCTTTGTGATTGTAAGATATGGAATAGCAGCAGTGATTATCTTCCCCTGAGATGTTTACATGGTTATGATAGGATGGTCTCTCCTCTTTTTTAACTTCTGGTTTACCGTTTTCTTGGTTACTCATAATTGTATGATACCTCTCAACGGATTTACTGATGCATGGACCAGGAATTAAGCTAAGTTATTTCTTTGAATATGAGTAGAATTCTTGGACGTAATACATTAGCTACCTTCGAAAATGCAGTTTTCATTATGCATTCATCAAATAGATACCGATAGGTTTCCCGCGAAATAGAGAATCAATATTTATATGTCTTGATGCCCATTCTTCTCTGACACATTTATATCCTCTGTAGGTTGGATTGGCTGACACATTGGATATGTACTTTGAAGACATTTACTCGGTTCCCACAAAACAGCTACCTTGTGATTATGTTGGAAATTATGCAGGCTTACCCGGGAAAAAGGTATCGATGCACAGATTTCTGTGATTTCGCCTATTTTCCTGTCTGAGGCCTTGCATCATCATTTCATGCTTGAAGTCTTTGTTCTGCAAATTCGGTTCTGTTAGACTTTTGTTTTTCCTTATTCTCTCTTGCAGAGAGGTTTATCTTTGTTGAAAATCATATCTGTCACGGCTGCAAGCGGGATTCTTCTTGTCGCTCTGAGTGCTTCATCGCAATTCTTGCTTCCTCGTCAAATTGAGGGAAGGAAGAACTTTAGAAAGCATCAGGATGTTCTGTCTCCAGAAGTTGAACCCATATCTCATCCATCTTTAGATTCCTCAGAGGTATGCATTATACAGATTTTGTTTACGGGCACATTTATATTTTCCATCTCGCCGAAAACTTGAACTTGTGACATCATTCCAAGCAGTTGGATTCATTCTGCGCTTTAGTCGTGAAAAAGCTTAAGGACACGTTTGGTTGGGCCGGGGATATAGCCATAGAAACCGGTGTAGGAGCCTCCATTGGAGAAGTACCCGATTACTTGAAAGATCACAACTTTACGAGCTCAGCTCTTCTGGAGACGCTCGATGAGGGCACAAAGGCGTCTGTACAGGATATCGCTACTTATCAGGTAACCCTTGGCAAAATTCTCTGCACATTTCTCGTCATGTCTTCAGATGGTTAGAGCATTGTAATCGAAACCTGAAAGTTTGATTCTTTACGAGCAACATATACTGTAAAGGTTGGTTCTTGTGCTTATTCTTTGGGATACCATTTGCTTCTGCATACAGGTTGTCTTATCGGGTGAAGGGAAAGTAATCGGGTTCCAACCCACCAGTCGGGTCGGCGTGAATCACTGGGCTGCGAATCCTTTGGCTAAGGAACTCTACGGTGGAAGAAAACTCTCGCCCGGTACTCCAAAACCCTCTTTTTTTCTTTTGTTCGAAGATTTCAATGTTGTTACGATGATCATATAGTTCATTGAATCGTTCTGCATTTGGGTCTTTCTTTCTGCGCAGGTCTCGTCGAACCAGGTCTCGATAGTCACCGCCCGGCAAAGGCAGTAGCTTTAGAGTTGTTAATGTCGGTGAACACAGATTCTCCCTTTGCTCTGGCAAGACCTTTGCCACAACCGTAGGTTAAAAAAAAAAGAAGTTGATGTTTTGCATGAACGCTTTCCATGGAAGTAGAATAGGCTCGTGGATTTGAACGCTGAGTCTGCAAAATATGAACCCCTTTTGTTCTGTTCTTGTTACAGCATCCTCATGATCAGTGAAATATATGAGAAAAATCTCCATTATATCGTTGAGAATAAGAGAAGATTTTTTACAGAGCGTGTTTCAAGATCTCGATATATACGAGTTCGAGGGCAATGATCATCAACCGTAATCTCTCGGTTCATATGCAACAGCCGAAAAAGACAGAAAAAGGTTGTCTCTTTTTTACCTTCGTTCTCTTGCTTTGTGTTAGTACAACAAGCTCGGAATCTCCGGGATAGTCTTCCGTCCTGTTATGTACATAGTTCCCTCGGGAGCTCGGGGGAAGTTGAAAGTACGAAAATACCCCTGCGAATGCAGTTGCAGTGGTGGTGGTAGTAGTAGTAGTTTCAGCTGCTGCACGATTAACGGTAAGCAACAGCTTCAACCTGATGTTTTCTTCAGGTCAGTTGATGTAATAATCGCCTAAGCTTAGCTTCCAACAAGGTAACTATACTCTTCGGCTACTCCGTACTGTAACTTGTCATCGTCGTTGGTAGGGTCTGTCATGTTCTGAACAGGATAGGGTTTCGGGCCGGGCATTTTTCCGGTGACTTTGGGTCGAACTTTGATGATGCAGCGCTTGTTGTTATCGGCAGTGAGCCTTCCCATCTGTGTCTGGAGATCAGCCACCGAGTCATTCGAGTTCTTCCCCTTCGAGTTCTTCTTTCCGACGGCTGCGAGCTTGAGTTCCAGCCGGTAGAGGGCACAAGCTTCGCATTTGTTGATCTCGTACTCGTAGAGATGCCATTCGAAATGGCGCAGAGGCTGTGGATCCATGTAGTAAGATCTTTTCAGGCCTCCGAACTCGTTCATGATCTGTTTCCGGGACTCGTGCCAGCCACGCCCGCAGTAATCCGGTAAGGATCTTTGCTTCCGGTTCCCGCTCTCGAAAGCCCTTCTCGGCTTGTCGAAAAACAGCCACTCCCTTATGATCTCACCCTCCAATACCGAAAGATCGAAGATTTCTGCAGTTAACAGAACACCGAGAAAATCTTTGTGAAACAAGGATCAAAACCCTAAAACTCAAACCTAAAATCGAGACCCTAACTAAACACAGAACAGAAGCAAGCAAAGCCCTACTACCAGGAGCATTCCATGGAGATTTAGCAGTAGCAGCTCCTTCGCACTCGGGAATACCGACATCTTTCCCGTCGGCTTTCGCACTAAGGGCGGCGAAAAGCAGACCGTCTTTAAGGCCAATGCCTCCAGGACGGACGATAGGGTTCATACCGGGTGGGCCTTCATTGAAGGCAAGCGCAGCATGAAAGCTGCTGCAGTAGTCATGGAACCAGTCAAACCCTAGAGTCGCCGGCCTAGGGCAATCCCAGAGCGAGCATTTCGGGCCCAAGAACGCGGAGGGGGGAGGGCATATACTTATAGTCGGCGGCATGAGAGTAGAGATATGTAAGCTCTCCTCTCCACCATAACCTGTACCATCCATGAAACCACCATTGTTGAAGTCTGGTTCAAGCTCTAATTGCAGATCATACTGATGATGATATTCCAAATGAGCTGACCCGTCGAAGTCTTTGCAATGATCAGGCAACGGAAACCCGTTTTCCGGCTTCTCTTGAACCAAATCATATCCCTGACAAAAAATAATTCACCACAGCCCTTGGGCATGCCAAAAGATAACATGCTCTTTGCAAGAGCTGAAAGCATCGGTATAACCATTTAACACTCACCCCTTGGAAGATATAGTTATTTCCAACTTCAAGAACACGATCAGAGGGCTCGGGTTTTGGAGCTGCTAACTTGCTTGTTGCATCGTCTTCCTCATCACAGAGCTGCAGCAACTGACAAATATCTGAGGAGAACGACCCGAAAGCACCGCCCTGCTAACAAAAGCTTCTGAATCGTTACGTCGAGAATGGAAAAGAAGGAATGTGGACTGAAACTAAAAGATACGGCCATCAGAAGGAAACTACTGCAGTGTAGGTTCCATAACAGAGAGATGCTTTTACTTGATGAAAGGAAGAAGCCGGGAATGGCTCGTTGAGCTCGGCTTTCCATTCACGAAGCATCTGATGAACTTGCTCCTCGAGCAGAGTTACGTCAGTTGTACGGCTCTCTTTCCGAGCAAACTGAAGATCCGTTAGCATCCCCTGCAAATCATCGACCCGATTCTTCGCCTTGTCCTTAAACAGCTTGTGAGAAGCAGATACGCAACTAGTCTTGATCCGCTTCCCCGTCATATGAATCTCCCTCCCCACCAAACTTTATCCAAACCTAAATCAACCAAATGTTTCAGACAAATTTGTGTTCTTACAGCAGCAAGAATGGAACTTTTTGATCGGCTTGGAACCATAGGTTGAAATATAATGCCAAGATTCCAGAAACAAGAACAACATAACCAGAGAAAGCAATAACACAACTTCACATCGCAGTAAAAGTCCATTGAAAAACAGAATCACCTGAAAATGGATCTTAAACATGAACTAAACGATCATAAAGACAGTACAAATCGAAACGAGAGTTAAGATCACAACTGCTAAGGAGAAGATAACCAGTTTGTCTCGATGTCAGAGGTTATTACAACTAAACCCACAAGCTCAAACAGCTTAAGAACACAAAATCAAAACCACAACAGATCGAGCTCGACCCAACAGCAAAAGACGAAAGAATTTCGAACAACCCGACCCAGGAGAAGAGATTAGGACACGAGAAATCACCTTACTGTATGAGCAAAACCTAAGGCAGGCGAGAAAATTTTCAATTCGGAAAAAGAACTGTAAAGCAGAGTAAATATTCGGACACGACACAAAATGATGGAAACTGTATGTCTCGGTTGGTTCTCAGCCTCGATTTTTTTTTAAATTCCTTTTATGAGGAAAAAAATATGAGAAATAAATACGAGAATATACAGTGAACTGGCAAAAATGCAAACGAATACCTTTATGAAATAAAACTATAAATACCTCGATTTTGCTATCGAATTTAATCGAATTTCGAGGGTGAAACATAAAATCGCATTAAAATTTTTAGTGATTCTTTAGTACAATTCAGAGTTATAATAACTGTTGGAAATTTCATCACTTGGGGATTAAAGAAATCTGATGAATGGATGGATTATAAGTTTTTTTTTAAAATAAAATATACGTTTTTATATTAAATTTCAAAATAATAAAATTATGGATTTCAGACTTGAGATGGAAAAAACGAATGAAAACATTGGGATAAGGATCATATAAATTATCAAATTGGAGAAAATGCAATAAATAAAGAGATTAGAATACGTGATTGTAAAATTTGGAAAGGAGGAAGGAATAAAGAGCCTTTTTTCTTCCACTGCTCTCTCCATCATCCCCATATTCCCATCTTGTGATCCATGTTTTCATATCACATAATCTTTAATATTTAGATTCACCAATTATCACTTCTCTATATTCCTCTCTTCATATATTGGATGCATCAGAAACCATCTTGTTAAATTGTTCCTTATCAATTTGTAAATTGTAAAGATGGTTATTGTTATTATTATTGATAAAAACGAATATATATATATATATATATATATACGTAATAAAAAATCTCTCAATAAGGATTATAATAATGTTAAATTTTCATATTGTCTAGTTTTCTCCCCTGTATCATTTAATGTTCTTTAAACTTAGATACCAGACTTATTAAATTGTATCCATCATTTTTTTTTATTGTATCATTCGATTTAAACAACACTAAATTTTTAAAAAAAAAATCTGAGGAATGGTAGAGACTAATGTAACAAAAATTATGGGATACGGTTTTCTTTCTCATATTATAAGGCCTAACCATTATACTAATTTATTCTGTAATGAAATCTGTCTACACTGAATTCTGAACCATTCAAAATCTCATTACCAAATGATCATAAGGTTTCTACTTCCTAAGCCTTATTGTCTGTAAACCCTAAACACATGTGATGGTTCCAAGCAAAAAATGCTTCAGCCAACCAAACTAGAGCTTGCAGCAACAATCAGACATCGAAACTTCGATCCCTCGGCTTATTAAATTTCCGTTATAGCAATGTCGATCAAGGTGTTCCTCGTCATATGACAGAACTAAACTTTCTCGAGCTGTTAAAGAATCGTTACCATGTCGTTCTTACCACCAAATTCAGAGGATGTTTTCAAGAGTCTTGGCAGATAGATGATCTAACTCGGTTTTGCTGATTTGCCGTCGTCTGTGTTGGATTGTTTCAAGTGGAATATACCACTTAGTCCCCGTGATTTAGCAAGTTTCTCCAGTTCCTCGATTTTGTTCCTTAGAAATGTGAAGTCTTTCTCCAGCTCTTCGTCTTTTGCCCTCAGTTCCTGAAACAAGAGAGATCCCATCCATAACTTGAATCAACCGACAACTAAAACAAAAAATATGTTTTTTTCGGTGTGATATCATAGGAGTGATGGAAAATTACTTCTGTTTAGTGGTAACTGGAACAAACACGGTGAATAGCCAACACAGTCAAGGTTATTGCCTCTTAGAGCATAATATGATAACAATTCATAAACAGCATGTATTTTTGGCCTTCTTTCTGTTCGGGTACGTTATGATTGTGCCCTTCAAACAGATGGCAATCCCCGAACGTAATGCTGAAAGCATAATGGAACAAGAATCAATTCTTCCAACAGGAGTAAAAGATTCTCAACTTGGGATGTCTGAAAAGGCTAAACCCCTTCTCCTTCTTACATAGATAAATGTGTTTATGAAGAGTGTTCTTGTTTACCTCGATTTCTTTCTTGCGTGCTTCTTCCTTCCTTGCTTCTGATCGAGCATTTCGTTGCACCTCAAAGATGACAACAGCTCCACCAACCTGTTCATATGGAATGTAACTGAAATGACCCTAGACAAACTTTTTCCCACCAAAATATATGAATGTGAGATCCAAAATTATTGGAGCGTATGAAGAAAGCTGAAAAAACACATCAAAATCCCATGGTTCACACCCACTTACACAAGGTATTCAATAACAGGGAAATACCTTATGTTGTCATATGATTGTTGCTGCAAGCACTTTACATGTTCACAGCACCATTCTGATAAACACCCGATTCGATTTCCTCTATATGAGGATTGTTCTTACGACTCGAACGAATATCGTATATTTTGGATCAAATTCCCAACGAAACAGCAAAACAAATGATGAGAGCATAAAGCCTAAAGGGCGGTTCTTTTTCCCCAAGTTTCATCTCCCCCGCAAATGCAAACAAGCCATTAGCATCAAACAAGTGGCCATTCATTCATAAGATAGAACAAGACTAAAGAAAGGCATTCCCAAATAACAATACTCCCCGCCAAGTCACCTGAACCGACATGATAGCATGAGAAAGATGGAAGAGAGGCATTACCGCAAAGACAAAGAGCTCTCCAATGAGGTCTGCAGCAGCCTGGACAGCTTTTTCCTCGTTCAAGGGACGAATCTCCTCGTTCGTCGCATGCCCATATATCCTTCTTTGCATTTGTGTCGTAAACCTATGGTTCCTCTGGTCACCCATTTCGAACAGCACATACGAACTCCACATTACAAACGATCGAACCCAGAATCTACACACAAGCTTGAACTTCCCCGACACGATTTCTTACACAGAATCGAATCTAACCTAAACGTCTCTCCTAGAAGCGTAGAACCGAGAGTAATGGATAGAACAAGAGAAATTGCTATGATTCATGTGTTTCGATCAGGATCAGAAGACAAAAGGGTGATCTCCATTTTTACCTGAGCAACGTTGACGATGAACAGCCGGAACCGGGGATGAACCTTGGCTTGGTGCTTGAGCTGGCTCGCCAATGGCTTGCTTATGGTTTTCAGAGCGAGAGTGCCCAGTTTCATCAACGGCAACACCATTTTCGCAGACAACCAAAAACTCAGTCGACAACGCCGGCGAAAAACGCGAGTTGTGGAGAGACGGAAGATTGCGATCGGTCTAGAGATTGGTGTGGGGCAGGATCATAACACTAACACAATGAGATAAATCTCCATTGCTTTGAAGAATCGGGTTTATTCCATGGGATTTTGAAAATTCGAAGAAGTTTGGATTTGGATTTGCTTGGAGAAGAAGAAGAAAAGACCCGGAGATTTCGGGACGCGTAGTTGATTCGGTTCGGTTTAATTGGTGAGGCCGCAGCTCGATTTACTGTTTTTCTTTTCCAAAACCAGAGATTATTTAGTGTTATAGATTTGGAAAACATCACTAGATTTGAAGGAAAAAAACGGAAAATCCAAAAACAAATTTAAATATATATATATGCATATACGTATAAATACACATATACATATATATATATATATATATATATATATATATCTTTTTAGTTGAAAAATGTGACAAGGTCACATCTTTTTAGTTATATAGTTTTGGAAATTTTAGAATTTTTCATGATAATTGAAGGTTTTTATTATAGAAATTTCCCAAAAAAATAATAACAAACAAAAATCTGTAAAATGTTAAAATTAACCAATATTAATGGGCATATTCGATTTCATTCATATTAGACTTTTATCGAAAAATTATTTTAATTGATTTATTTTTATATTTTATTTGAATTTTATCCCAACTCACATGGTGATAAGTGTATTATACTCAAAATTTTTCCCTAAAAGTTTCACATATTTATAGAACAATGATTAATTTCTTTTCAAATGGAATCAAAACGATCTAAAAAACAATTAAATAGAATCCGGATTATATATCGCCCGCTAAAAAGAGTCATTCATACACCGTGTAGTCTGTGTTCACGTCATTTCCTCTGCAAACTTTTTTTGTCTCGCACATGAAAGCTACTTTAATCGATCATTCTCTTTGCGTGTGTTCCGTCGGATTCGTTCAACTTACGAAAAAAAAGAGATTGTTAGTTAAGGAAGACGAGAACGAATAGGATGATGAACAGCACCACCAGGAAACATATCATCATTATCTGTCCCTTCGCTCCTGCTTTCTTCATTACCATCCCCACTTTTTTCTGCAACATGGTACCCAGTTTTCTCTGTATTAGTTATCCGGCACTCGCCTCGTGAATTCATGTTCCAAAGCTTGGTTCTACGGTTTACCTGAACAAAATCGAGGCGGTTCTTTGTACTGTCCATTTCCGTGCCCAATTCATCTATTATTCTCTCCTGCAACATCCCCAGAAAAAAAAAACAAAGCAAAGGTTATGTTTCGGATACATTGGTGTATACGGTTTCGTGTCTTATGGGATGGGTCGAGTTACGAATTTCAACAACTATCACTCACCTGTGCAACGAGTTCATCGTGTATAGTGAGGCCTACTCCTCCAATCCTCTGTACGCTTTTACTCAGCTCGTCCAGTTCCTCGTCTTGTTGCCTACAATAGGATAAACGATTCCACGTCACAACATGCTCTACACAGGCTGGACGGACCACGCTAATCTGAATGAAACTTCACCATACTATTTATTCAAACCTAATCTTTGATCAGATATTTGTTTTATATTCATCTGCAAAGGAATTCCATTTCTTTTTTCCGTTAATGCCACTAATCCCAGCTACTCCATATAGGGGGAAAATATAGGCAATGTTGAACTGATAAACAAAAATCTATACTTGATCAGCAGCAGTTGTCTGTCTGATTCCGATTGTGCAAAGTCGTTATCATTTTGTGACCCATACTGATCATATCTATCTGTCTCGGTTGAATTTGGCATTCTCATCAGCTCCCGGCGCACTTCACTTGCTCCAGCAGCTCCGGAAATACTCTTTCCAGCTAAAACGGATTTCTTCACATTTCCAACCTAACGAAATGCAATAAATGTTCATCAAACAACAACCAAACCGAACTTCCACCACTTACACAAAATGGAAGCGGAAAGGACAGTAGAGTAGAAGGGATAGAGAAGTTAAAGAATATACTCTCTTACACTACCCTCTGCATACCTAGAGACATACCTGTGTACGAGCATTGCTAGTCCATCTCCTACGTTTTTCCAGCTCAGTCTCATTGATGCCATACCATGCAGGATCTCTGGCTGCCACAGTGATTGCTTTGTCCAGTTCATCCACCTTCCTATCAATAAGGATATCTTCAGTATCCGTTTAATTACTTCAAGTTGGCTGATGAATTTCTTCCATCAGACTGTTTATCAAACAATCAAGGACCAGAGATTATGGGTCTTTTGCATTCTATAGAATCAACTCAGAGTCCAATTTCCTATGCTTCACCATATTCGATTACTGACAAAATTTGAAAACACTCGAAACAATGGAAATCATCTTCTAATCCAAACCACATTCCTCAACGTACCAGAATCAATTAACTACAGCGCTACAAGATTCGAGTACCTGCCACTCGATGCTCTCACAACCAGCAAGAAGCTCCTTCGTCAGATGCACTTGCTCCCCCGTGTCAGGCGGAATACGCTCCCATTTGTGAAAATTAGATTGTAATTTATCAATCTGACATAGGATCCATTAGCCAAACCCAACATTACTCATTGTAAGATAAACACGGTAGTTCTATTCCAGAACGCCGGGTTCAGAGATCCGTAGCAATGGTTTTGGAAAATCCGACTCGAAACTTACGGATTCTTGGATCTCCTCTTTCACAATATAGAAGGGATCTTGAGCCGAAGACATTTAGAACCAACAGATTAAGCTAACCTGTAACTGAAAAGAAAGGTTACGTAGCATAATCAAGTTTCAATGATCGGCAAAACTAAATAAATAAAAAATCAAAGAATGAGAATTCTGCATTCCAAGTACAATAGATCATTATTCGACAGAGCAAATCTGCGAAAAAAATGGACTGATCAGGCTACAGGCAGGACAATTTACCACAAAAAGGCAGAATCAAAAGTTTTCCGACCAAACAGAGGAAGATTCTCGCGATCATGGATACATTTCACAATAATTTTGTCCAGACAGAAACAAAGAAACCCTAAAACAGGAGGATTACGGGCGCAGATCTTAAAATCAACCGAAAATCGAGATTTCGCCGAGAGATCTATCGAGAAAAACTTCTCGAGAATTCGTTGGAGTTTAGGGACACAAACCTTCCGGGAAAATTTTTCCGATACCGGCAGAATCGACCTCCAGGATGAAGCGGCAGTTCTGAATCTGACGAGGAAAGATCCGCAGAGACGAAGCTTCGAAGTTTGATGACTCTGATAAATCTTCTCCGAAGTCTCTGGATGAGTCGGAGGAAGCCACGTATTTCCATTTCATGGAATAATGGAGAAAATAAATTAAAATTTTGAAGAAACTAAAATGGCCCATCTTACTTGGGCTTAGAGATGACCCGTTATGTTGTATTGGACGTGAGCCCAAAAATGGCCCGTTGTGACTTTTCTTTCCGACGGTAGAAAAATCATACTATTTTTTCTCCTTAATTAGCTATTAGGGTCGAAAAAGTAATAATGTTTGGGTTAATAAATTTTGAAATGGTAAAAACAAATCCGAAAACAACCGATAGAGATTAAATTAATGTTACTTGGGTGTTAAATGTGAAAACTATTATATTTATATTATGCATATATTAAAGTTTTAAATACCCATAAAAATATTTGGTTTTGGGTTGACGTCAGAAAAGAGAGCGGGAAAAAAGAGATTATAAACAATGAATTAAGAGAATTTATAAATATGAATTATTGTGGTTTAATATTTGAATTAAAATCCAAAGATCGGATTTTCGTCATGATCTCCGTATCCATATTCGTTGCTTCCAATAACCGATTTTTGGATTCAAACCGGTTCCCGTGTCCAAGCGTAGGAGACCACTCGTCCCGTGATTGAAAAAAACCAAAAGGGCCTCGACACTCGACAGCTTCTGATCACAGACAACGACAGGTCTAATCCCTTTTGGCAAGCAATACGTGGGTCCCACACTCATCGCGCATATCACTTGCCACGTGTCACGATCAACGCCTTGGGGCGCGAGTCAACCGAGTCCTCTGGGCCCCGCCTACGCGAATTAAGACAGTCCCGGATTATTTTCCCACAAAACGCATCGGACGGTAGATTTAGAATGATATGACACGTGGCAGGTAAAGATGAGCGCGTGGTTAAAATCGCTTTATGTGCGCGTGAAGAACGACTGACGTGACTAAAAGTACGATGAAGCTCGGACAAAACAGTGGAGAGAGAGAGAGAGAAACGCACCCGCGTAAAAGTCGAGGGATCTCTGGCTCCTGATGATGACATGTTTTTATTATTTTATTTTAAAAATAAATTTTTTATTTATCAAATATTAACACACACACACATATATATATATATATATATATATATATATATTAGTTTTTAAATATTTTACCATTTTTATGATGACAACAACTTTGTTTTTTACACTGTTGTGAAAACAGCAGACAACGCCTATCTTGCAGATCCCATAAATTAATTTATTTTCTTATTACATACATTAATATTAATATAACATATGCTTTATGAAAAAAAAAATTAATATGAAGATTATGTCGATTGAGTTCATCGCCGTTTCGTTGAGTTCTATTATTTGATAAATGCATTCGGAATCGTTTAGTCGCTGGTTTCATATTTTATTTCACGTTGTTGGTTTATTACTTTTTTATTTTAAAATTTATAAAAAATGTAACATTCCGAAGATTTATCTAATATATATTATATTTCTTTGTTAAAATTAGTATCGAATCATTTAATCATGGATTTTAACGTTTGTAAGTATTATTATTACCCAAAATATTTTTTTTATCGCATTATATGAAGTATGAGATTTTCTTAGGAGAATCCATAACTCGTTTTTTATCATTTAAATGCTATACATATAACTAACGTGTATGCCCAAGGGGTTTTAAAAATAACATAAAAGATAATAATTATTTGGTGTCACCTTATCAAGCATCACACACACACACACACACACACATATATATATATATATCAGGTTTAATACCTTTACGAGAATTACCAGACAAACTTTTACAACAGTAATAAATAATTTGCAGAAGCAATAACTTTTTTGTTTTGGGGCAAAAAAAAAAAAGTAAAGCTGCTCTCCAATTAATTGTTACTAATTTTGAATATCCGACAACTTACCCACCAAACAACATTTTTTCACACTCAAATTTCAAAAAGGAAAAGTAAAAAAATATAATTACGACGTCACATTGGATGTATAGAACTTACTTTATTATATGATCAGAGCACGACACTGTGATATTTACTTTATGATATACACTAATATTTGGTAAATGTTACAAGTTAAAATAAGTTTGACCGGAATCTGGATAGAGTTAACTTAGTGTGCGTATATATAGTTTAATAGTTCCCTTATGCACGTGTTTTCATTTTCTTATTTGTAGCTGTAAATCTTAGTTGTGGGATAAACATGTGGGCTTCTATTTAAAATTATTATAACGATCAAGTAAATTAATTTTAAAACGATATAAGATAATTAAATAAGATTTAAAAAACAAAAATCGTTTACTTTTATGATCAATGGTTACACCTTCCTGTTACTTGTGAAATAATACCAAGCTTTATCTACAGACACGACCGAATAAATAACTAGAATCATATATATATATAT